GGGGGTTGGCGGCAGGGCACGGGGTGACCGGGAAGGCAGGGGCTGAGGGGGGGAAGTCGTTATCGTTCACATGCCCTTTGTCGGTGGATCATTGACAAACGCATAGATCCCTTGCTTCGAGATAGAGGCACCACCACCTCTCTCTCCTGGTAGGGACACGACCAATCTTCGAGCGCGTCGTTTGCGTCTCCGTCGTGTGGTGTGCTTATGCGGAAGATCTTACTTGTCTACCCTATGTATATATCTACCCCCCTCCCTTTTAGGGCCTGGCCCTTCATGACCTGGTCGCGGCTTTTCGGTTGTGCGCCAGTCATCGAGGCGTTCCGCGTTCCAAGCCGCGCCATCGACGGCATCAAATACCGTACCGTACCTAACGCGTGGCATCTTTGAGTCACACGATACGGTAAGCTTGTACCGCAATCCTGCGAGGTGATTGTACCCCTCCCCCGTGCGTGGACAGACTTCATGGCTCAATTCATCGCTCCACAATCGAGAGGGAACGTCGAAAACGGTTTCGTTGAGAGCTTCCCCGTTTAGATGCCGGCCGGTTTTCGATAGCACCCCCTTGGTTGCGAAGAAATCGACTGAGCGAGCCACGACGAACGTCGAGTCTACCCGACGCGTGTAGTAATCACGCAATCACCGCGGACCAACAACGTACGGCGGTTCGTCCAAGCTCGAGGGCCGCAGTGGAGCTACATCGAGAGGGAGAATAATCCGACGCAATCACCGCGGACCAACAACATACGGCGGTTCGTCCAAGCTCGAGGGCCGCAGTGGAGCTACATCGAGATGAAGAATAATCGGGCCCACAACACATGCCACTAAGAAATAAAACAAAAAGTCTCAAACTACGAATGCGTGGGAGAGCACACACAGCACAGCAGTAGTAGCAGTCGTGCCTCGCGCGCAAAGCCCACACCTTTTTGGAGAGGTTCATGTACTTGGCCTGGGAGGGCGTGGAGGGCTCGTTCAGCTTGGTCCTCAGCCCGAGCACCTCGGCTTCCAACATTCGCCGCATGTCCTGCTCGTCCGCGGTCGGTCCGCATCGGCACAAAAAAGAGAAAGAAAAGATGTTTCCGAGGGAGAGACAGGGGGGAATCAGTTGGCTTCATCACGCCACAAGCCCTGGGTCCTTCGGAGTGTGTGTGTGTACACAAGAGCACAACCGAGGCGTCCCTGTTCTCGCCAAGGGCGTCGCCATGTCAAAACACCGCAACTACCGGCACGAAGAGGTTCGACATCTACCATACCGCTGGTGGTGCCGCTGGTGCTGCTCCCACGCCACCAACCAAACCGTGCCCCCACGCCACCAACCCCGCCGCCTTCTCGCTACCACAGGCCTAAATAGTCCCACGTGCTCAGCAAACAGCCTCTTCTTCTTCACCCAAGATCACGTCGAACCTAGCCCCCCAAGAAACCACCGACGAACCAACCAACCTCTGATCGTTCCAGGTCCTTCGCAGCCGCCGCCTGCCGCTCCTTAGCCACCGCGGCCTCCAGCTCCAGCACCCGCTCCCTCTCCCTAAGCCTCACGTCGTCTTCGCCATCCCCGCCGCGGGCCCTACCACCACTACCTCCCCCTTCGCCACGAGCGGAAGGAATGCCATCACCGCCATCACCGCCGCCGCCGCCGCCGCCACCGCCGCCGCCACTTGCCGTGGTTGGGGGAGCAGCGGCGCCCGCCTTCCCCCTGCCCCAGGCCTCGGCTTGCTCCCGTGCCTGCGCCTTGCCGAGGGCCTGTGGGTTTGGTTTCGTTTCCCGCCAGAGCAAGGCGGGGGGAGGGGGGCGTGCGATTCCGTGCGTTCGTTGCCACCACCGCTGCCTGCGGTACACTACCCGCAAGGCTTGCAGGAGATTTTTTCGTCCACTTGCGCTATTTATTAGTCCATTGCCAAACTATCCCCACAGCGATGGGGGCGATGAACTCATTGGGTGGAGCAAGTAAGAAAAAAAAAAAACGTGCACATAGCCTTCTCGTTTGGTCCGTCCCAACCATTTTTTCCCGTGTGCCGAAAAAGCGCGTGGGATAGTTTCATCACACAACTAAAACAGGACAG